TTGTGTGACAAAACTGAGAAGTAAAGAATGACGAAATCTTTTTAATTCAGTCAAAACTTATAGAAAACTCAAGAGAACATAGAGCTTTGAAGTTTGTCGATCCGTGTAATGGATTGACTTATTATTGTATTTAAATTGCAACATTTTAATCCCGTTTATGTTTTGAGTGGTGAGCTGCTGTGGGTTACTTGGTCAGTTAGGGAAGGACCATTAGAAAAGTGATGGGGGGTGTGGTGGGGGTTTTCTGGCCCGCAAGAACTTTTTTCTGGCCGATTGCCTGTGCAATAACGACCCACAAGAGTCATCTCTCGGCTATATTAGAAAGGTTTGCTCTTCTTCAAACGTAATAAGGTAATGTAATATTAAAGAAAATCGTTTACGTACCATTGAAGAAAAGTCGCCAAAACTCCAGCAATGCTCTTTTTCTCTCGGTCATCTTTCTGATAAAACTTACGATCAAAACAAAGAAAAGCCTCGCCGAGAGGGTCAAAAGCGTTTTCTTTGATCCCTGGTTTACTTGCACTTCTAACGTATTCGCAGAATTGAGGCCCTGCCAGTGGGGGTCCCACGTCATTCGTCTGAATTTTAAAACGTCTTGTGTCGGTGTTTATAAATGCTTCACGTCGCTGTCAGAAATTGAACGATAATTCTTTGTCTTTGTCGGAATTTTAGAAAAGGGGGATAGCGATGCGTTGTAAAGAAACCATCACAGTTCTGCAATTTCTCAGTTAAGAAACATTTCACGTATCGAACACCTGACTATTCAAAGGACCGGAGGGTCCACAGAAGCTCACTGACAAGAGACGTTCTCTGAAGCGCAAGGAAAATTGACGAAAATGACTTCTTCTTGGCATTCAGACTGGTGATAAATTAGCCAAACCACCGTTCTTTGTCACTTATTCTCGGCTTTGCCGTCACTGTCGCAATTTGGCCGAGGGAGGTTGTTTCTTGTCGCGATTTAATTTTACGCGCTGTCGCTACTTTTTTGGTCATGTCGCTTGTCGGAATTTACCCTGGCAGGGCCTCAGAATTTCTCCTTCGTGAGTTTATCTGATGATAGGTTCATGATTTCACGGACATGCGCAGTACGTTATTCAGCCCTGTCAGTGTACCCGTACAAAACGGACATCGTAGTCATGCAAAGCAACGCACATTACGCACATTTAGGGCCCGAGAAGCATTTTTCAAGTCGGTTTAGTAGCAAACGGGATTCCCGTTTCTGTCGTCATTGGGACTGGATTTTAAGGTTAACTAGCGTAATGTGTCGGGCGAGAAAGCGACTAACACTTCAGGTTAAATTTGGGTTAGAATTTTGGTTTGACTCTTTTTTGTTACATACAATACCTGAATGATAAATACTCTCTGACATCAAATGTCAGACGAGCTATGTCATGGCCGGCGCTTTCCTAAAAATAGTCAAAAAATGCTCAGTAGAAATCCAATTTCTTTTAATGAACTAAGTTCACGTAAAATAGTCTTTCGGGAGTTTCGAGAAATGCAGACCCGTGATATAAACGTAAATCCGTGATTAAAACGCCGGAAGCAGCGGGAGAAACACTCCTGGTATCCATTGCTTGCTTTCAAGTAACGTCTTACCTCATGTATGCGTATTTTATGTAAACCACCACTGCTTGGCACTAAGAAGGTTAGGAGGGTGATGTAGTGCCGCAAACATTAACAAGTCTTACAGAGAGCATGCGCTTATGGTCAAAAACGTAAAACAAACGAATTACCAGTATGTTCACCAATATTACATATCCACTTGTGCCCTACAAGTGAAACATAACAGCCCAATTGCTACACCTGCTACGCTTGCTAAGCTTGCTGCAATTGCTACACTTGCTACGCTCGCTTCGTTTGGTACACTTACTACGCTTGCTACGTTTGCTACTCTTCCTACGCTTTCTATTCTTGCTACACCTGTTACGTTTGCTATACGCTTGCTACGATAAACTTGCTGCGCTTCATATAGAACATTTCCTATACTTGCTTCTTTTGCTACGTTTGCTTGCTATACTTCCTGGCCTTGCTATATGTTGGCTACGCTTTCAACGCTTTCTGAAGTTGCTACGTTTGCTACATTCAAGATGTGGTGTCAATAGACCAACCCTATCAGAAACTTTCTACATTGTCTCATGAGGAATCCTATTTATTTTTTTATTTTATCTAGTTGACGATTTAGTTCAATTTTCCTTTTATGTGTAAAAAACGTATTAACCAAGATTTCGATCAGCCAATCAGGACACCGCTTCACTGAGGCACGACATTTGTAAGCCAGTGTTTAATGACCTTACGCAAGAAGGGAAAAACGTTCCTTGTCATCGTTACAATTAAGTTCCACACTGCATCACTTTGACACTCATTATAGACTCCAGTTTAGATACACACAACGATAAATTTATTTGACGAAGTTAATTGTTATAGGTACAATCTAGGTCAGGTGTAAAACTAGCCTGCGTAGCACGCGTTTCCAGTCGAGTTTCCGCTCTCGTCCCAACGTTCTCGACGAACTCGCGCGGAAACGATTGCTACGCAGGCTAGTGTAAAACATATTCTCTGTAAAGATGTATAATTAAATGAGGTCATGTAGACTTGAATTAAACTTGGAAAGTCTGTTTCCTTCAAAACAGAGATCAAGGGACTCTTAAATTTGTTTTGACCAGGCACCAAACAATTACGGATTTTCTTTTTTCTTTCCGGCTTAACCTCTTGCCTCTTGAGTGTAAAAGTTGTCGACAAGAGAAATCAGAAAACTCGATGGTAAAAACAACGTCGGAAACGCAAATAAGCCTGGGCTTTGAAATAGAAATCCTTCACCTATCAAAAAGACGAGCAAAATAATGTACACCTACATTTATTAGTGATTTAACCTAGTGACTGAATAGGGAATTTGACTTCAGTATTAGAATGGATACCAATCTAGACACTAATAAACTTAAACCAATCTGCCAAAAGAATTTAAAAAACTACAACTGTGTGAATAATATAAAGGAACTATTATATGAAATTGCTATTCTTGAGTTCCTCTGTAGCAATGTGGTATCAATAGAAATAGCCGAAATTCACTACTTATTCCTGATATTTTTAAGGGCACTATAAAACAAGTTTCAAATGCACACGACTGGTCGCAAAATAAGCTACGAAACGTACACCGTAATTTTCAGACTACGCAAAGCTTCAAGTTATTTATATTAACAGCATATAATTTTCTCTCCTGGATAGAGTGTTCCTATTCTTGTGAGGAACGCTCCACCTCGTAATTGCGACAAAAGTAGAAACTCACTTCAACTTCAGATAGTTAGGAACTACTTCACTGCATTCTTCATCATACCTATACAGCAACAACAACAACAACAACAGCAAAAAGCAACGTTAGCAAGCAAGCAAAAGAAAAGGATAGTGACTTCATCTGGCGAGGCATAACATTTTGACCACTGACTTCTAAGAGTGCGCTCGATTGATCGTTCTCCGGAATAAGAATACGCAAAAGTTTTGTTACAAACCTCTTCTATACCCTAATTCTTGAACCATTTAAGGTTATATAGATCAGAATACTTAATTTCAAGCAGTTTTGTAGTTATTGCAACAGAATGAAAAAAAAGAACAAGTGATTTCTAGCGAGTTTATTCCATTTATTTTTATTTGAGACACGGAATACGTTGAATCGAACACGCCCTAAATCTATCAGAGCAAAGGGTCACATTTACTCCTAACTTTAGCCAATGATTGGACTTATTGTAGAGTTAAATAAAGTTACATACCATAAATTCCCTACTAAGCCCCCCTCTCTAATAAACTCCTCTTTTCGGAAAAAATTATTAAACTCCCTCTCTCTTTCAAGCCTCTTCTCCCTATTCTTATATAATAGACGTATGATCGATGTATTAATTTATCACGACTGTAACACTTCATGTGGACTAATTATCCGGTATGGTTTATTCACGAGCTGCAAGTTCCGATTTGGTTTTGCACCTCGGCTGATCATGACCTCCAACTTTATGTGCCTGAGCTTTTCCACTTTGCGTTCTAGTTCTTTATTAAGAAATGATACCACAGTCTTTGCTTAATTAAAAAATAAGCCCCTCCTTCCTCTCAAACGTTCTTGGAGTGGGGGCAAGCTTATTTTCGTGACGCCGTTATAGACCACTTTTGGTGTCCGTGAATCGTGATGTACTGAAAAACTGTTCTGTGAATCGTGATTAAGTGCGCTCCGTGAAACCTAAACTGCCAAAATCCTCGATTGTTTACACGAACATTGAATATCAATCGAAGAAAATAGATCGTTAATTTTGCTAAACGACCTTAACTAGCATCTGGTGACTTGATTTAACTTCACTTTCCAGTTTTTTTTACGTAACTTCACACTTCAGTGCGCTCAGACCTACCTACAGCTCGCTTACCTAGGAAATTTATAGCCGCGCAGTGTTTCTAGTAAGGCTCGTAAAACTCTAATTAACTTGCTAAAATACAAAATGGGACTAACGTAACGTTTTTGACCTTTTGTACGACCTCTAGTTTTGAGAAGCGTGAAAACGTGAATATTTGTTTCGTGACTCGTTGGGAATGAGGAGCGCCCCCCCCCCCCCCTTAGATAAACCAACGGGAGGCTTAATAGAGGATTCACCATATCTGGAGACTTTCCTAAGCGACCACCTTCCGTAAAATAAGCGACCGTAAATTTCATCTTCGCATTTTGGGTCGTCGCTTACGTCAGCTTCGACTGTTAGTTACAGTGGAACGAACTCAGAAGGGGCCACCGACACTTTAAATGTGAAAACATCCTGACAATTGAAATAAATTTTCTAGTGTTTAACTGTCAAAAGAACTACCAAAGTCAGACTCCTTTGTTGTTGTGAACTTGACCTGTGATTGGTAGATTGACGCTACGTGGCACCGGTTGAGTTCGTTGTTCAATAAAGTGGCAAAAATAATTCCTTGTTAAAACTTTTCCTAAAGCACGAAATATTATCCTAGGTTTAAATATATCCCGAAATACCTTGTTATTCATTGCTACCTTCAACCTCGAACGTTACGTCGTCACCAATGAGAACAAACGGCGCCCAGTACCTCACAGCGTTAAAGCGGTCAGATTCTCTCATGGATTTCATGGCTTTATTCAGAGCCTCACAGGCACTTCGTCCATGGACTAGTTGTTGGTAGAAAACTTTCATGAACTCCATAGTAGCTTCGTCGTCGATCGCCCACAGAGACACCAGAACAGAGCGAGCACCAGCACCTAAAAATGCCCGTGCAATACCGACCACACCCTCAGATTTGACTTCACCCCGGGCACTATGACAACAACTAAGTACAACAAGTCTTGCCCTAATCTGCGCCTTTAAAACATCTTTCATAGTTAAGAGATAGTCCTCCCTGGCTGGATTCACGGATAAACGTGTTGTGTTTGGGGCCAAGGCAATTTCTCCTGTTTCCATTTCACCGTGAGCAGCAATGTGCACCAGAGCAACCGAGGAGATACGTCTTAACACTTCATCTTTTGTTGCCTGCTTTCCAACGAGAGGTTCAGTTTGAAGTATTTTCCCAATCATCCGCACTTCCTTTTCGGCCCACGCTAACTGCTCTAGCGTCGTTACCTCCTGTACCCACGGATCACCGACGAGAAGAGCGCCAGTCTTGCTGTGCCAATCTGCTGGACAATTTTGGATTAATCGCAGAGTAGAAAGTGAGGGAAGTAGGCGAATTCTAAAAGTTTCGCAGAGGTACTTAGATTTCAAGTCAATGAAAGCAGCATAAGGGGCCAAACAAAGAGGTCCTTGTGGAACAATCACAACCTCATGATCATCGCTTTGGAGTAAGTCTCTTATAGGGTCAATAACAACTTTGTAAAATGTCTGCAATGACTTTGGCTCAAAAGATGAGGAATGAGACCTTGGCTTGCTGGATCTTTTTCTTTTTCTTGGGTTCCTTAATGAGCGATCTTCACAGTTAACAACAGCTCTCACACCTATTTCTTTACGTGCAGTCTCCAATAGAGACTGAAAATTGGTTGTGCCGGAGATATCGATCTGAGTTCCTCTAGTTTTGATTTCTTTTCCTTTCTCGTTCACCCAGAGAACTATCTCCCCCTCGTTGATACCTATAAAAGCTGTATTTGATGGTAGGTAACTAAGAATGTCAGGTGTTGCTGCAGAGAGTGTTCCTATTTCTGGAGATAACCCTTTTAACCCATACTTAAACTCCAGAAGATCATTTAAAGCTTGGGCACGTCCATGATCAGCAGTTTTAAGTGCCTCGACGACTTTACCTTGCTTAACCTGCAGCCCCCATAGCCTCAAAATAACATCATCATACGTACTCCCAAGACTAATCTTCCATTCGTCATTAGATATGAGATTTCTCCTGATGTGGTCGAAAGCAATGACACTGTTATTATAACAGTGAACGGCTGTATGTAAATCTCCTACACTCTGATAGGCGTTGCCAAGATTACAGTACCCTCTTCCCTCTCCTGCCCTTTCTCCTAATTCTTTGGAAATTTTGAGGTTAAGTTTAAGGTACTCAATGGCTTTCTGGTAATCTCCAAAACGGTAATAAGCGATACCAAGATTACCGTACGCTTTTCCTTCTCCTGCCCTGTCTCCCACTTCTTTGGAAATTTTGAGGTGTCGTTCATGGTACTCTATCGCTTTCTGGAAATCTCCAAGACTGTGATAGGCGTTGCCAAGATGACTGTACGCTTTTCCTTCACATGCCCTGTCTCCCACTTCTTTGAAAATTTTGAGGCCTCGTTCATGGTACTCTATGGCTTTCTGGGAATCTCCAAGATTGTCATAGACGTTGCCAAGATTACAGTACGCTATTCCTTCTCCTGCCCTGTCTCCCACTTCTTTGGAAATTTTGAGGTGTCGTTCATAGTACTCTACGGCTTTCTGGGAATCTCCAAGACTGTCATAGGCGCTGCCAAGATTACAGTACGCTCTTCCTTCTCCTGCCCTGTCTCCCACTTCTTTGGAAATTTTGAGGTGTCGTTCATGGTACTCTATGGCTTTCTGCAAATCTCCAAGACTGTTATAGGCGTTGCCAAGATTACCGTACGCTCCTCCTTCTCCTGCCCTGTCTCCCACTTCTTTGGAAATTTTGAGGTGTCGTTCATGGTACTCTATGGCTTTCTGGAAATCTCCAAGATTGTCATAGGCGCTGCCAAGATTACAGTACGCTCTTCCTTCTCCTGCCCTGTCTCCCACTTCTTTGAAAATTTTGAGGTGTCGTTCATTGTACTCTATGGCTTTCTGCAAATCTCCAAGACTGTTATAGGCGTTGCCAAGATTACCGTACGCTCCTCCTTCTCCTGCCCTGTCTCCCACTTCTTTGGAAATTTTGAGGTGTCGTTCATAGTACTCTACGGCTTTCTGGGAATCTCCAAGACTGTGATAGGCGATGCCAAGATTACAGTACGTTTTTCCTTCTCCTGCCCTGTCTCCCACTTCTTTAGAAATTTTGAGGTCTCGTTCATGGTACTCTATGGCTTTCTGGAAATATCCAAGACTGTTATATGTGCAGCCAAGATTACCGTACGCAATTCCTTCTCCTTCCCTGTCTGCCAATTCTTTGGAAATTTTGAGGTCTCGCTCATGGTACTCTATGGCTTTCTGGAAATCTCCAAGATGGCGATAGGCGTTGCCAAGATTACCGTACGCTTTTCCTTCTCCTGCCCTGTCTCCCACTTCTTTGGAAATTTTGAGGTCTCGTTCATGGTACTCTATGGCTTTCTGGAAATCTCCAAGACTGTCATAGGCGTTGCCAAGATTACAGTACGCTACTCCTTCTCCTGCCCTGTCTCCCACTTCTTTGGAAAGTTTGAGGTCTCGTTCATGGTACTCTATGGCTTTCTGGAAATCTCCAATACTGCGATAGGCGTTGCCAAGATTACAGTACGCTGTTCCTTCTCCTGCCCTGTCTCCCACTTCTTTGGAAAGTTTGAGGTCTCGTTCATGGTACTCTATGGCTTTCTGGAAATCTCCAATACTGCGATAGGCGTTGCCAAGATTACAGTACGCCTCTCCTTCTCCTGCCTTGTCTCCCACTTCTTTGGAAATTTTGAGGTGTCGTTTATGGTACTCGATGGCTTCCTGGAAATCTTTACAGTTAACATAGGAGTCGCCAATTGTACTATTCCCTTTTTCTTCCTCTGTCCTCTCTCCAACTTCATCGGCAATCGTGTTGGTATTTCCAAGATTACAGGTGGCCTTTGTTTGTCCTTTCGCAGCCATTCCACTAACAAATTGCAGATAAAATCTACGTACTGCTTGTCCAGAAGATAGTTTTAATTGTCACAATTTTTGCCTGCTTTGCTATTTCAGCTCTTCTGAAAAAAAAGTGTAGATATGTTGTGTTTTTTTCCCGTTGATACAATTTCTCTTCATGTAAGATAACGTACGATAACGAAAATGAAAAGTAAAATTAAAACATTGAGTAAAAGCTTATTTCTTAGCTCTTTTATTATTCGCTTTTGTCCACGATCACAGTCGCATTTGGTTTGCCACAAGTAGTGATCGTTCTACTTGTTTTTTTATCGTTGTGTCATGTAACTTGATAAACTGGAGTCTTCTCTTAAAAAAGGAAAAAGACGTTCTTTTTGGTGATCAGTGATCGAAATGAAAAAGAAACCAGATTTACCATTGTTTAAACATGGTGTGTATTATCTATCTAGTCGTTGTACATTCATCTACCCTGCATTGAAAATACTACAGCTTTTGGCAACAAACTACAAATCGGGCGAGTAGGAATATTCAGAAAAGTCAAATTTCGGAAAGTGAACTTATTTCTAAGGTTTAAAATCTCTTGCTAGCGGAATACAAATGAACAGCAAATGAAAAGAATATATATTTCTATACCACCAGTTATTTTAAGCTTGTGGAATTTCAGAAAATTATAATTATGGTTCATATAAAATAGCAAATCCCCCCTGACTCCTTGCGCTTCTCGGTTTTAGCCTAAGAGCGACCGTCAGGAAAAATCGAGAACAATCTTAATCTCGTGGCAGGAGTTAAAAAATGAATTTGTCCATAGATAGCTTTTAGGTAGATAAGAAACCTACTGTGGATTGTTCCCGCCAGAAGCCTTTTATTTGTGGTTTTCGATGTCGCCAGAGTCTCAGACTGCCCTAATGTTTTACCTGAAATTCGCCAACATCAACTTTCCTCGTGTGCGCAAAGGAAGGCGCATGGAGAACAGCTCGGTACGTGTAAAAACCTGGGGAGTTTTGCTTTTTTTAACTTCCTATTTTCCTTAACTAGTATAGCTCTGTTACGTTGACATCTTTGAATTTCTTTGTGTCATGTCACTTAGGAAGATTGCAAGTTCTTTTCAAATACACCCGTCCGAGGATGAGCCGGTTTAGAAAGATTTCTGTATACAGCTTGCCCTTATAATTTAACACAAATGATAAATATGACTCTTCTGCACACCCTTTTTTTACGTCGTCACGCAACGCAGACACTAAAAATGGCTGTGTAGCAGACTACTATGAGTACGGACATGTATGCATAATAATGTGTCGGTCAAATCGAAGCTTCAACATCCCTCCCCCCGGGCATTTGACACTTTTGCCGTCCCGGGGACGAGTAGTCACGCAACGCTCCTCCCCACTAGTTTGTTGGCAGGAGCGTTGCGTGACGACACTAATAACGGCTGTGTAGCAGACTAGGGGTAGCCTGTTCCAAGCGTTCAGATAGTGGAGAGCAGTGCGAAGTAAAGAAAGCGATTAAACGTAGAGGGGGACTGGGGAGAGAGGTGCGGGAACGCTTATGAGAATTTTTAACAAAAGTGCGTTCCGGTCTACCAGATCCTGGTATACCCTCTGATTGGTTGATTTTGACAGTTTTTGTCAACAGTGGAGCGTCTTCGATCACAGAGAGAAATGCGATATGGCGGTGATGACCGACTTTACGTCCCGTCACGCAGAATTCGAACTCGCAACAAACACATCGCTGAGTCACTTTCCAAACGTGGAGGGTAAACGCGAAGAGCAAAGAAACTGTTTTTAAAACACCTAGTCGGCAGGATAGATGTCTTCGCAATTTTACCGACTGGAACATTAGAACAAAATCGGAGTAGCGGCGGCAATGATAGGAGAAGATGTGGATGAGGTCGTTAAAAGTGGAAGCTGTGAAATTGTATACTGAAGTCCCAAATCGTGTCAAAAGGACTTCAAGAAGAAAAGGTTGGAAAGCAAGCTCCAGCTATCGCTATTGAAGAGGTCCACTCAATCACCGAATGGTAAACTTTCCCTGCAATTGTTGTGCATTTTCATTGCTTGAGTTAACGATCTGTATTGAAACGGCTTTCTATCGAAATGAGCGGTATTTGTTTGTCACTTGAATCTTAATTTTTTGTCACGTACACGCTGAAATCATGTTTTAAAGCCGTAAATAAATTCCTTGGACAAGAATACTTCTCCCACTCTCTGTTGTCTGAAACTCTTACATTAGGTTTTTAGTAAGACTATGTATACACAATATTAATTTTTGATCTGAGAAATTTTGATTTATTTGCAAGAAAAATAATAAATGTATGGGGCTGTAACACCAGTCTTGATTGACAAGTGAAGACCACCTACAGCTGATGCGGTCTGAGTGGGCGGAAGAGTCTATTTAAAACAAATCTAACAGGCGTTCCCTCTCTCACCTCCCCTCCTCCCTCTCTTTTATTTTTTCGCGCTCCTTTTTACTTCGCACCGCTCCCCACTATCTGAACGCCTGGAACAGGCTAACTAGGGGAGGAGGGAATTTGATTATCAGAGTCTTCCAGGGGGTGGGGAATTTCATCTCCATGCGTTAGAGGTGGGGAATTTGAACTGCACCCTCAAGTTCACGTGAAATCTCTGGCGTGGCTAGCTGTCATGGGGGACGCGGTGTTAGAGGATTTTCGTGGAAAAGATTGTGCCTTTGTGGCCAATTGGTTACGAGGTTTGTGCCGTATTTGAAGTTATTTAAATTTTAATATTTTTAATATTGGATTCAGGCTTTGAATAAATGAATGTATTAAGTTGTGTTTATAACGAATTACAATACCTATACCGGCGATTCAAGTGAGCGATGATGCATGTCAGTGAATTTGTCATGATGTAGTAATCTCAATAGGTGGGATTTTTTTTAAAGAACGATTTGTATGTTGCATGACACACGAAGAAACTCTGAGCCTTCAGTGACCTTGTAGCAGCGATTTCCGCCGCTTTGCACGAGACTTTTGTTCTTAGTAAATACGCTAACAGTGTTTCTCAGTTTTTGTTATATTGAATGCAGATCGTTTGCTGTATTTATAAAGATTTTGTTCCACAACCGAAGACCACTGGAAGACGTTTCTGCCGTCCTTCTGTCATTTATGTGCCTGTGAAATGTCCCCGTGGTGGGGGCATTTGATCACCTGAATGGACCCTAGTGTGGGGCATTTAAGCGGCATTTTGGCCCGGATAGCGGGGAATTTGAACAATATTTTTCAAAAAGTCAAATGCCCGGGGGAGGGGATGTTGAAGCTTCGATTTGTCCGATACATTAATCAGTGAAAGTGCTGAGATGAAATCCTATATGATGGCTACTATCGCTGAAAAAGTCCCCTGCGAACTGAAAGATCATAGACAACAAGGCCCGGTGAGGGTAAAAGACGGAATGAGTTTGCGGAATGGCATGTGGCATGGCTTGCGGAATGACATAATTATGTGGAATGTAATATATGCAGAATGACCCAAAGAAATAAATTAAACTGAAAAGTGCGCCCTTTTTTGGCGCCAATTAATCTGCAAACGCAGCCTCTGTTTTAATGTTGACATACGATGACAATCAAAAAGCCACGAAGGCTCATTGTCGATTAGCCTTTTCTGCACAGCGGCAAAGATTCTTCTTGCCTTTATTAGTCGGGCTGCATGGTAGCACTGATACTACCGCACGAAAGTCGGCCATAATTGAAGAAAAGTTATTTTGGAAGGTCACGCTCCCTTCTACTTTAAGTTTCTCGGCCAAAATGTTTGCACGATTAACTTTACAGTTTCTTTTTACCTTTATTTGTATTTGCAACCGCGTGAGAAGTGTTTCTTTTTCAAACAGTGGGTTACGTGATCGTGACATAATATTCAGAGATGAAACGGATCTTGTACATGTATGTATTTTACATTCCGCATAATTATGTCATTCCGCAAGCCATGCCACATGCCATTCTGCAAACTCATTCCACCTTTTACCCTCACCGAACAAGGCTTTATTAATCAGAGACATGCTTTTACAAAAGCTTCCGCGAGATAAATGGCCAAATGCTGTTCTAAGGTAACCAAGAACCGTGGAGTTCTAGTAATGCCTACCTCAGTTATAAATACCCGAGTAGTCTTGATAGTTCGCTTGATTTGTCACGACGAAAAAGTCTACGAGAAAATCATATTTTGCAAAACAAGTTCAAGTTCAGGTTCAACTGTATACAGAGTGGAATGATAACCATGTATGCATAATAAATCAGTGAAAGGGCTGAGAGGAAATCCTACATGATGGGTACTATCGCTGAAAAAGTCCCCTGCGAACTGAAAGTTCATATACAACACAGGCTTATTAAACACAGACATGCTTTAACAAAAGTTTGCGCGAGATAAAGAACGAAATACGCGTCGTTCTAAGGTAAAGGAACCGAGGACTTCTAGTATAACTTCAGCATGCAATGCTTACCTCAGTTATAAATCCCCGAGTAGTCTTGATAGTTCGCTTGATTGGTCACGACGAAAATGTCTACGAGGAGATCATATTTTTCAAAACAAGTCAGTATAAAAGTCAATTGCATTTTCCTTCACAAAATAACCGGACTTGCATAAACCGTACCTATAAGCAACAACCAACCCTTCTACCAAGAAGAAATTAAACCTTCCTTTATTAGCTTTCAGTTTCAACAAAACTGACATAAGTGCGTTCAGAAATAGCTCCCGAAATGCAGCCATCCATGAATAAAAGCAAGGGGCTAGCCCGAATTTCTTGACGATTACTTTGACTCGAAGCAATCGTTTGAAATTCAGGCTAAAGAGTGGTACCCTGGTCCCAGAGGTTTTTCTTGATTTTTCTTCGCGAAAGAGATCAAGAGGAAGCCGCGAAGCGGCGACAACGAGTCGCGAAAGCGACGAGGAGAGAGAGGAAAACCTCTGGTTACCTTGGCCTCGAATCTCACTTTCATGCAGACGACAGCTGTCAAACGCGTCAAATTGCCAATAAAAGGAGTGACCAATGGCAACTTAGCAAACACGTGCTTATCAGCCGCTATTTTTTTAAGTGGGGGTAGACCTGGGGAAATTATGTTATGAACAAACCATCTCCACTTGGGTGGTAAAGAGTGATTTGTTAATCGGGGTCAAGCTAAAGCATGTGTTAACGATGGGCGACAAGAGTCCAGGAATAAGGAGACCACTTTATAAAGAAACCGACATTGTTCCAAACGACTGCTGCAGGATTTGCAGAAGTTATGTAAAAGTAAGTGGCCGATCTAAAATCAACTTTTTTGGGTATAATAACAAGGATTTTTCACAAGCATTGTCATCTGTTCTGTCGGCAGTGTGCCAGCGGGAAGTTGTAAAGTTTGCAAGAGTCTATCAATCGCGCTTATTGCATTGTTTACTTCTGCGGGGCGCGCCGTTCGCGTCGATTCGCGGGCATTCCCTTCAAAATAGTAATATTAATATGTATTCTGGCAATCTGGCTCGCATTTTGGTTTGGCGGCTCCATTTCCAGTATATATAAATGCGAAATTTGCAATAAATTCACACTGTAGTTATAAGGAAAATTTAGCCATAAAGTCACTTTGTATATTCTACAAACCGAGAATTTAGCCATTAATTAACGGCTAAATATTTTCCTTTTTATAGAAATTATTTAGCCATTAATTAACGGCTAAACATTTCCTCTATATATGTAGTAAGTGAAAATTAGCCATTAAATAACGGCTAAATATTCCTCCTATATATATGTAGAGTAGGTAAAATTTAGCCATTAATTAACGGCTAAACATTTCCTGTATAAATGAAAATAAGGTTAAACTTAGCCATTAATTAACGGCTAAACATTTCCCATATATATGGAAAGAAGGTTAAACTTAGCCATTAATTAACGGCTAAACATTTCCTAGGTATACGAAAAGAAGGTAAACTTAGCCATTAATTAACGGCTAAACATTTCGCATATATATGAAAAGAAGGTTAAACTTAGCCATTAATTAACGGCTAAACATTTCGCATATATATGAAAAGAAGGTTAAACTTAGCCATTAATTAACGGCTAAACATTTCGCATATATATGAAAAGAAGGTTAAACTTAGCCATTAATCAACGGCTAAACATTTTCCATATATATGGAAAGAAGGTTAAACTTAGCCGTTTATTAACGGCTAAACATTTTATTTTATATCCGTGTAGGAAGTTAAACTTAGCCGTTAATTAACGGCTAAATAATTCCTTTTTGTTTATAGAGGTTTAACTTAGCCGTTAATCAACGGCTAAATAATTCCAATATATACCTGAGGGAGGTCAAACTTAAAAATATTTCAAAATATTTTCAACATATATAGATAAAGGAGGTCAAACTTAGCCATATTCTTTAGGAGGTTCAACTTAGCCATTAAATAACGGCTTATTATGTACGGACTATAGGGATCGCGCTGGGGAGAGGTTCAGTAATTTGAAATTTAATTCTAAACGGCCTCAAAAAGAGAACTACGAAATTTGCCCCTCCCTTCTTACCGGACCCAACATTAAAAGAACTGCTCCGCGGTTGGTTCTTTAAGCCGTTAATTGATTCTGCCAAAATGGGCTGTTTATGCTAGGACGTTACTCTCGCTCACAGCCGTTTTTTTGTCGCTTCATTCAAAATGGCTGTGAGGGAAGATCAAAGGATAAAGAACGTCAGAAGCCAATAAAACCAGGAGAAGGCCATGGGCAAACGACTTTTGTTGTGTGGTCTATTCGGTTTTTAGTAAGGGTGGTAGAGAAGGGGGGCTTTTGCCAGGAAAGAAAAGTTTCAATTTGGAAAGAAATGCGAAGCCAAATCATGGAATGACATGGAAATTATCCCTCCTCCCCGGGAATTTGTGGGGCGTTTGTTTGTTTGTTTGTTTTTTTTTTTTTTTCAGAACCACTGCAATTGCCCTACGATAGAGGCTGGCAGCCGGGAATTCATACAAAGACCTCACGGTGGGGCTGAGATAAGTGTTCAAATGCCCGACCCCGGAATAACTATAAAATTGCATTTTATTGTCATCTGTGTTTGAGGCCTAAACTTCAGCAATGTTATCGAATTTTATTTGAAGGAGATGTTTACCTTAAATGTATACTACTCGCGAGAAATGTTGTGTTTAAAATTGGATGAATCGACTTTTTCATATTATGGAAGAAGGGGTGGGACAAGTAAAACTAGCAACTCAATACCCATAAGTACTTTATTAAGTAGTTCTAATAATTAAACCGACTAGATATTACTGGTACAAAACATGCTCGGGACAGCCATTATGGAACTCTCTGAGGAGATTGTTCGGGCTCCTGTTATTTTGATCTGGATTAGAGACCGCCAATCTTTCTGTAGTTGAAAGTTCGTCTTTCATAAAACTAATCTGATTATTTGACGAAACCGATTAATATATTCTATTAAGCGTAAGTCAAGTTCCTGTCAAGTCAAACTAAATTTTCTTTTACTTGACCTGATCAATTTAATTGTTAAACTATCAATTGGAAATTAATATTTACATAAAACTATTAACCTGAAACGTTTTTCAAAATTTTGTACGTGCTAAATGTTGCCTAACTGGCTAGTTCTTGTTAAAACAAAAAAAAAACATTACAAATGTCTTTTGAATTTCTGCTTATTCCACGAATTAAGAAAACTCAGGAATTTATGATAACTTTCATTTTGGATGTCCAAAGCGGTTAATACAGTTCATATTTTTGGTAAGAAAACATCGGCATACTATTGTAGTTTTGATCTTCTTCTTCTTAGTTTTGATCTTCTGTATGGATAAAAAAGATACATTTTAAATTCTACTCGAGGCACCCGCGGAAACAGAAGGGTAGATTCACTTGGCCCACAAACCGCCCACTTCGATTTACTAGACTGGTGTACTCCAAATGAATCCATCCGAGACAAACGGCTAAGTTTAGCAGTCTCTTTATATGTTTTGGAGGTATTTAGCCGAACGGCTAAAAACGCATGACACTTATATAGTGGGAAATGTTTAGCCGTTAAATAACGGCTAAGTTTAGCTATTTCCTTCTATATCGGAAAAAGTTAGCCGTTATTTAACGGCTAAAAATGTATGATACTTATATAGTGAGAAATAGCCGTTAAATAACGGCTAAAAATGCATGATACCTACATAGTGGTAAATATTTAGCCGTTAATTGTGCATGATACTTATATAATGGGAAATAGTTAGCCGTTAAATAACGGCTAAGTTTAGCTGTATCCTTATATGTATCGGAAATATTTAGCCGTTAATTAACGGCTAAAAATGCATGATACTTATATAGTGGGAAATAGTTAGCCGTTATTTAACGGCTAAGTTTAGCTGTATCCCTATATATATCGGAAATATTTAGCCGTTAATTAACGGCTAAAAATGCATGATACTTATATAGTGGGAAATAGTTAGCCGTTATTTAACGGCTAAGTTTAGCTGTATCCCTATATATATCGGAAATATTTAGCCGTAAATTAACGGCTAAAAATGCATGATAGTTATATAGTGGGAAATAGTTAGCCGTTATTAAATGGCTAAGTTTAGCTGTATCCTTATATATATCGGAAATATTTAGCCGTTAATTAACGGCTAAAAATGCATGATACTTATGTAGTGAGAAACAGTTAGCCGTTATTTAACGGCTAAAAATGCATGATACCTATATAGTGGGAAATAGTTAGCCGTTATTTAACGGCTAAGTTGAGCTGTATCCTTATATATATCGGAAATATTTAGCCGTTAATTAACGGCTAAAAATGCATGATACTTATATAGTGGGAAGTAGTTAGCCGTTAAATAACGGCTAAGTTTAGCTGTATTCTTATATGCATGGCAAATATTTAGCCGTTAATTAATGGCTAAAAATGCATGACACATATAGTGAGAAATAGTTAGCCGTTATTTAACGGCTAAAAATGCATGATACCTATATAGTGGGAAATATTTCGCCGTTAATTAACGGCTAAAAATGCATGATTCGTATATAATGGGAAATAGTTAGCCGTTAAATAACGGCTAAGTTTAGCTGTCTTCATATATGTATGGGAATTATTTAGCCGTTAATTAATGGCTAAATTTCTCGTTTGTATATATATGTTAATGAAAATTTAGCCGTTAATTAATGGCTAAATTTTTCGTTTGTATAAATAGTTAATGAAAATTTCACTTATAAATAGTTAATGAAAATTTAGCCGTTAATTAATGGCTAAATGTTTGTTTAGTAAAGAGTAAAATTTAGCCGTTAATTAATGGCTAAATTTCTCGTTTTGTATATATATATTAATGAAAATTTAGCCGTTAATTAATGGCTAAATTTTTCGTTTGTATAAATAGTTAATGAAAATTTCACTTATAAATAGTTAATGAAAATTTAGCCGTTAATTAATGGCTAAATGTTTGTTTAGTAAAGAGTAAAATTTAGCCGTTAATTAATGGCTAAATTTCTCGTTTGTATATATATTAATGAAAATTTAGCCGTTAATTAATGGCTAAATTTTTCGTTTGTATAAATAGTTAATGAAAATTTCACTTATAAATAGTTAATGAAAATTTAGCCGTTAATTAATGGATAAATTTTTGTTTAGTAAAGAGTAAAATTTAGCCGTTAATTAATGGCTAAATTTTTCTTTAATAATAATACAAAGTGACTTAACGGCTAAATTTTTCTTATAACTACAGTGTGAATTTATTGCAAATTTTGCCATTGTCTAAACACCGTTCCTTTTTTTGTGGAACAACGACGCTAGGAAGAGTCATGCAGCACAACATGTACTTTCAGAGGTTTTTGTTGACCCAATAGACCTTTTCGGCTAACTCAATGTTGTACCCAATTCAAACCCTTTGGGAATAAAACGTTTTGTTTCAGGAATTTCCATATCATTTAAATGTGAATGCCACATTATAATGCAAATGCAATACACAAAGAATCTTATCCCCGGGAGATTTGAATTGGGTACAACATTGAGTTAGCCGAATAGGTCTATGCCAAAAATAACGTTGGTTAGATCTTTTTTGGGCGTCACAGGAAAATCAAGCTGCACCGAAAATGTTTACGTAGTTGTACAAAGTTGTATGTTTTTTTTTCCTACAAGGAAACTTTCATTCCGTATTCGGAGATTTTTTATTTTGCAGCCCTAAACAAGTTAGTTTATTTAATGGAATGACAGTATTGTTACAGAAAATATACTTTCCATGTCCGGTTGATAAAATAGTGAACACATCCTTTCGACTCAACGCAGCGAACAAAGCTTTCTTTTGTCGTTCAGGGAGACTCAGGAAAGCGCTCATTAAGTACCGAGGTCAAAATTTCTTCGAATATTCTTTCAGGAACAACATCCATGTCAAAATCTCGAAATATGGCGTGCCTTTACGTGTCTTGGTCCCGTGCAAATGTTATTGCGAGTGCAGCATACAAACAATTTTCTTCCCTAGTAGAGAGAGGCAAAATGAGGTGTGAAAATCCTCAGCGTCCCCTCGGTAGTTACAATTAAACGAGCCAATCAAATTGGTTTGCGTGTTTGAAAAACTATCAACCAATCAACGCCCGAGGGTCAGATCCTGACGCTGTCGTCTGCATGAAAGTGAGATTCGAGGCCAAGGTAACCAGAGGTTTTTCTCTCTCTCCTCGTCGCTTTTGCGACTCGTTGTCGCCGCTTCGCGGCTTCCTCTTGATCTCTTTCGCGAAGAAAAATCAAGAAAAACCTCTGGGACCAGGGTAAAAGAGTGGTCAAATTAAATCAAATGCACACAGTTATTAATACGCTGTGGCTATATGCCTGGCAGCCGGGAACGGTCTTAAAAAAAACTATAAATGTCCGGCAGTCAGAAAATTTTCTAGAATTTCTGAAAAATGCCTTTTTCTAGTACTTTCTAATCGTCTGAAAGTATTCCATCTTCATTTACAATTACCACTGAAGCGATCAGGAAAACAAGAATGGCTTCGCAGATGAGGGGTTGCGGTTTCTCGGGAATAGAGTAGATTCGACGCTGTAAATTAGGGTTACATATGTTATGCTCGAAAATTTGAGCATAATGGCTAATATGCATGTATTCTGGAGCTTAAGAGAAGGCGTGTTCACTTTCCAGGTTCGCTTTAAGACTGGCGAGTATTTAGCTTCTCTGAAATCGTGCCCGTGAGTAACGCCCGACTTATTCTATTCTGCGAAACGAAACGAAACGAAACGAAATATATTGGCGAAAGAGAAAAAATGCTTATTATCACGCACTGCTACTCACGAAATTATTCCTAGGCTAATTGTCGAAACAGCGTCTGACAGCGTCGACTCTACTCTATACCCAAGAAACCACAATCGCTCAGCTGCGAAGCGAGTTTTGTTTTCCTGATCGCTTGGTTATTATAAATGAAGATAGAATACTTTGACAAAAGTTTCAGCGAGATAAATGACCAAATGCCGTTCTAAGTTAAAGAAACCGTGTAGTTCAAGTATAGCCGGCTTCAGCTAATGGAGTGCCTACCTCAGATATAAATTCCCAAGCAGTCTCCATAGTTCGCTTGATTTGTCACGACAAAAAAGTCTACGAGGAAATCATATTTTGCAAAGCAAGTCAGTATAAAAGTCAATTGCATTTTCCTTCACAAAATAACCGGACTTGCACAAAACTTACCAATAAGCAACAATCAACCCTAATTAAATGGGATTTTTCCCTTCCTTTAGCTTTCAGTTTCATTTTGATCTACGTCAACAAAAGTGACGTAAGTGCTCCCAGAAATAGCTCCCGAAATGCAGGCATCCATGAAAAAAAAAGCAGATGAGGGGTTAGCCTGAATTTCAGACGATAACATATGTACGTTTCCTTTTGGTCAGCGACATCGCGGCCTCTGGGGACGAGATTGGAGTAAAAACGGCTCGAAGCATTCTCGAAGCAATCGTCTGAAATTCAGGCTAAACAGTGGCCTGCGTGGCTGGCGTTCGAAAGAGAAGCGGAAGGGAAGAAGGCCGCGCGAGACCGCGCGCAAGAGGGGAAGGAGGAGGGGAACCTTTCCTTTCTTCCTGGCCCAAATTCCCCCTTCCCCTTCCCCTTTTAACGCCTGCCACGTAGGTTAGCTAAAGAGGGTCAAATTAAATCGAATGTACAGTTATTTTAAAATACGCTGTGGCTATATGCTCGGCAGCGGGGAAGGGTCTTAAACTAATAAATGCCCGGAAGTCAGAAAATTTTCTAGAATTTCTGCAAAATCCCTTTTTCTAATCATTTAAAAGTATTCCATCTTCATTTAGAATTACCAAGCGATCAGGAAAACAAAAATGGCTTCGCAGATGAGCGGTTGTGGTTTCATGGGCATAGAATAGAGTCGACGCTGTTTAGGATTAGATGTAAATTATTATGCTAGAAAATTTGAGCATAATTAATGAACGGTATGCATGTATTCTGGAGCTTAAGAGAAGGACTTTTAACTTTCCAGCTCTGTTTTCAGACTGCCGGGTATTTAGCCTGTCTGAAAGCGTACCCGTGAGTAACGCGCTCACGAAATTTTTCCTAGGCTAACTGTCGAAACAGCGTCTGACAGCGCCACCCGTATGTGTGTGTGTGTGGGGGGGGGGAGTGCCATAAATAAGCCATATTGCTGGTTTTCAGTGTGACGCCATTCAAAATAGATCAAAAGAGAAATCAAAACCGTTCAATAGATAAAGTCCAGAATCTGGGAAATGAAAGGAGGTACATATACAAAGACCCTCGCCAAGATTCAGGTCAGAGGAATATTTCGTATGCGAGATATCCGAAGAAACGTTTTACCCAAATTTATAGAGATTTGTATGGAGACGCCATGCTGGTGCTCACCAACATGAGCTCCAACATGGCGGACGGAAACCAACAGAAACATCTGTTACCGAGTTTCGCTACAAAAGCGTGAATTTATTCTTCGAGAAACTCATAAACATTAAAGTGATACTTTTTCTAACACATCGACTGTCTAGATAGCAAAACTTTGTGAAATAAGTCATTTTTTAACCTACACGACAGCTTTCTTGGCCGTCATGCAAATGCCGCGTCACCAGAAGCTTAGAAATTCAAGCGTACTCTATCACAAAACCAAGAACCCCTTTGGAGCGAAAATTTGTATGAAATTTAGTTTTCAGCTGCTCTAATACATCGTGAAAGCAAAATCTCGGTAGGATCGATAGTTTTTTTAGTTTGAATTTTATTGACGTCATGTGAAAACCAAGAATAGGTATGTGCCGCCCCATCGGATAGGGTTTTTTAGGGTCTGCCGGATTATGCCGGCATAATTTTGAGCATAATACTATATCTGGAGCATCAGGCATAATGCTGGCATAATACTAATATTTTTGGAACATAATGCCTCTGTTTCTGAAAACTGTGAGAGGTGTATGCAAATTTTACCAGCAACTCGCTCGTAGCGACGCTCTATGTGCGAATGTAGAAAGTTGATAAAAGTGGGAATATTTTAACTTGATACGTTAGACTCGTACCCAGTGCATTTTGCTATAATCCAAGTTCATTCGAGAAAGACATACAGTAAGGCCTTTCAATGCCTCACAATTTCCGACCTTTCGCTTGCTCATCAAATGTGTAACTGAATAATTATTGTCTAACAATTCTTTCAAAAATGAAAGACTAGGAATGTTTATTAATAGATACAGGCCTATGGGGGGGTGGGGTGGAAGTGTCATTTTAGTCCAGCATAATTTGAGCATAATACCTCCAGTCGAGCATAATTTTGAGCATAATACCCTAGTTTCACGGGTGACGCCCGAAAGCATAATACTCTACTTTTCGAGCATAATCCGGCAGACCCTAGGGTTTTTGCGCCGTTTTGGTCTGAAAATGGGTACACACTTTGCCCATTTTGGTCTGGAATCGGGTATGGTTTTCGAGGGAACTACGGAGTCTAGGAACGTATTTTATCGTTTCAATTCCAAATGAGTAAGAAAGAGAGAAAAATATGCGAATTCGAACTGGATTTGAATAATTTTTTTTGTTCGCGTAGATAACATAATTTCTGCCTAAATGCCAGGTCTGACAACGGGTATGGATTTTAGAGGTCTATTCTGAAAACGGGCGTGGGAAATAACATTTTTTGGTCTGATATCGGGTCAGGATTTAAAGAACCGGGCGGCACACCTCCCACCAAGAATTCTTGGTTTTCACATGACGTCACCAAAATTCAAACTAAGAAACTATCGCTTCTTCTGAGTTTCTACTTCCATGTGACACTAGAGCACCTTAAGACCTATACAAAAAGTTTTAGGTTCAAACTGGTTCTTTGTTTTCGATACGGTACTCTTGAATTTCCAGGCTTTTGCGTGACGCGGCATTTTTAGCTGGCGGCCGGGAAAGCTCTTATGTGGGTTAAAAAACATTACGGATTTTTGGAGATTTTGCTATCTAAACATTCCTTGTCTTAGAATGAATATTACTTTAATCTTTACGAGTTCCTCAGGCGAAGAATTCACCAATAAGTAGGAAAACTCAAAAACAAATGTTTATGTTAAATGACCAAATGTCGTTCTAAGATAAAAGAACCGTGTAGTTCGAGTATAGCTGCAGCTAATGCAATGCCTACCTCAGTATAAATTCCCGATTAGTCTTGATAGTTCGCTTGATTTGTCACGACGAAAAAGTCTACCAGAAAAAAAAAATTTTGCAAATCAAGTAAGTATAAAAGTCAATTACATTTTCCTTCACATAATAACCAGACTTGCACAAAACTTACCTATAAGCAATTTGCAACAATCAACCCTTCTACCAAGAAGAAACTAAACCTATGGGATTTTTCCTTCCTTTAGCTTTCAGTTTCAACAAAAGTGACGTAAATGCTTCCAGAAATTTCTCCCGAAATGCAGCCATCCATGAATATAACCAAGGGGTTAGCCCGAATTTCTTGACGATCAAATACTTCGACTCGAAGCAATCGTCTGAAATTCAGGCTAAAGAGTGGTCAAATTAAATCAAATACATACAGTTATTAATACGCTCTGGCTATATGCTCGGCAGCCGGAAAGGGTATAAACGCCTGGACGTCAGAAAATTTCCTAGAATTTCGGCAAAATGCCTTTTTCTAGTACTTTCTAATCGTCTGAAAGTATTCCATCTTCATTTAGAATTACCAAGCGATCAGGAAAACAAGAATGGCTTCACAGATGAGGGGTTGTGGTTTCTCCAACATAGAGTAGATTCGACGCTGTAAATTAGAGTTAGATATATTATGCTCGAAAATTTGAGCATAATGCCTAATATGCATGTATTCTGGAGCTTAAGAGAAGGCGTTTTATCTTTCCAGGTTCGCTTCGAGACTGGCGGGTATTTAGCTTGTCTGAAATCGTGCCCGTCAGTAACGCCAAGCTTATTCTATTCTGCGAAACAAAACGAAACGAAATATATTTGGGAAAGAGGAAAAATGCTTATTATCACATGCTGCTACTCACGAAATTTTTCCTAGGCTAACTGTCGAAACAGCGTCTGACAGCGTCGACTCTACTCTATACCCAAGAAACCACAATCGCTCAGCTGCGAAGCGAGTTTTGCTTTCCTGATCGCTTGGTTATTCTAAATGAAGATAGAATACTTTGACAAAAATTTCCTCGAGATAAATGACCAAATGCCGTTCTAAGATAAAGGAACCGTGTAGCTCGAGTATAGCTTCAGCTAATGCAATGCCTACCCCAGTTATAAATTCTCGATTAGTCTTGATAGTTCGCTTGATTTGTCACGACGAAAAAGTCTACGAGGAAAACATATATTGCAAAGCAAGTCAGTATAAAAGTCAATTGCATTTTCCTTCACAAAATAACCAGACTTGCACAAAACTTACCTATAGGCAACAATCAACCCTTCTACCAAGAAGAAATTAAACCTATGGGATTTTTCCCTTCCTTTAGCTTTCAGTTTCAACAAAAGTGACGTAAGTGCTTCCAGAAATTGCTCCCGAAACGCAGCCATCCATGAATAAAAGCAAGGGGTTGGCCCGAATTTCTTGACGATTACTTCGACTAGAAGCAATCGTCTGAAATGCAGGCTTAAGATTGGTCAAATTAAGTCAAATACATACAGTTATTAATACGCTGTGGCTATATACCTGGTAGCCGGGAAGGGTCTTCAAAAAACTATGCATGCCCGGCAGTCAGAAAATTTTCTAGAATTTCTGCAAAATGCCTTTTTCTAGTACTTTCTAATCGTCTGAAAGTATTCCATCTTTATTTAGAATTACCAAGCGATCAGGAAAACAAGAATGGCTTCGCAGATGAGGGGTTGTGGTTTCTCGGGTAGAGAGTAGTTTCGACGCTGTAAATTAGGATTAGATAAAATTATTATACTCGAAAATTTGAGTATAATGGCTAATATGCATGTATTCTGGAGCTCAAGAGAAGGCGTTTTCACTTTCTAGGTTCGCTTTGAGACTGGTGGGTATTTAGCTTCTTTCAAATCGTGCCCATGAGTAACGCCCGGCTTATTCTATTCTGCGAAACGAAATATATTGGGGAAAGAGAAAAAATGCCTATTATCGCTGACGCGCTGCTACTCACGAAATTATTCCTAGGCTATTGTCGAAACAGCGTCTGACGACTGTACTCTATACCCAAGAAACCACAATCGCTCACCTGCGAAGCGAGTTTTGTTTTCCTAATCGCTTGGTTATTCTAAATGAAGATAGAATACTTTGACAAAAGTTTCCGCGATATAAATGACCAAATGCCGTTCTAAGTTAAAGAAACCGTGTAGTTCGAGTATAGCCTCAGATGCCTACCTCAGTTATAAATTCCCGCGCGAGTAGTCTTGATAGTTCGCTTGATTTGTTCATATTTTGCAAAGCACGTCAGTATAAAAGTCAATTGCATTTTCCTTCAACAAAATAACCGAACTTGCACAAAACTTACCTATAAGCAACAATCAACCCTAATTAAACCTGTGGGATTTTTCCCTTCCTTTAACTTTCAGTTTCATTATGAGTAAAGTTCGTCATAAAACGTGACGTCAATGCTTCCAGAAATTACTTCCGAAATGCGGCCATCCATGAAAAAGAGCATATGAGGGGTTAGCCTGAATTTCAGACGATCACTTCGAGTCGTTTTTACCTTTTACTCCCTCAGATGATGGAGTAAAAACGAATCGTCTGAAATTCAGGCTAAAGAGGGGCCAAATTAAGGTGGCTCGACTGGATTTTTTTAGGGGGATACCTCCCAAGTTTGAGCGTTAACTACGTCGGTATGAGTAAAGATATGGAATAAAGGTTACCACAACTGTATTATATAAAGATGAAAATTTCTTATGATCTGGGTTTTATTGCAATCGGAGTCGCCATGGCAACGTAATGACGCCATTACGTTTTTTATTTATCTTTGTGTTTCTCTGTACCAGGAGTTTTTTGAAGAAATCGCTTAAGGGAGTATGTACCTGCTTGCCTAGTCCCTGCACGGCGTTTTTCAGGCCCTCTCGGTCAATGCATTTCGGTGACGTATCCGAGACGAACGGCTGGGAGACGCCTAGACAATCTTGGAGTGCGCATGCGTGAGCAGTTTTGCATTTTTGAAAAGTTCACACGGTCAAATCTATAAATAACTTTGCGCGTGAATATCCTTCGCTTCAAGATCGGCACTATTGATAAAAAAAAATAACTAACCTGGTTTCTGTTATTAAAGAACAGAAATATTATTTTGAATCGGAAAGAATACTACTGTAACGTGCAAGTAATTTCTCTTTTAGTTCATTTTCAAATGAACCATTAAAATGATATTTCTTTATTGATAACAAGACTTGACACAGTAGTTTGTTGACATTCTACCAAATTTAGAGACCAAATTCAACAGCCTGTCCGATAAGTTTGATAAGCTTCCAAATCCAAGAATTAAATTACATAAAATATTTCGAAGTGAAATGATGACGAGAAATTTATAGGAGCAAGCGAAAATAGAGAAACGAAAGACAGCTTTTAATATCGAAGAATAAATATAAACTTATTTCTTTAGCTTACCTTCCGATTCTTGATCAAATAATTTTTTGGCGACGCTGTTTTGCTTAGCCTACAAATAGTTTTTGAGATGAGATAAAGTTCAGATTAGTTTAATGAAATAAATGAATAAGAAAGGCCAAAGGACTTTCAACAATGAAAACGTGCATAGAATAAAAATGCTCCGTACTCTCCGTGGCTGCTGGACATCTTTCATCATCGCGGAAAAGTTATTGACAGCTCGCCCGCTTCCAAAAGCTCCGCCCCAAGTGAGACAAAATGTCGCACTTCTCGGAGTTTGTCTAGGCCTCAAAAATAGGCTTTTGTACATTATGCTTTTGTTTCCCCACTAAAATGCTCCACCTTAATGCTCCATTTTTCCCACTAAAAAGCTCGGTCTCCCCCAAAAATGTCGCTAAAACTGAATCATTGGATAATGCAATTCTAGCATTTTGATTGGCTTAGCCGTTATGGTATATGAGCTATTATACAAACGTTTTTTTTTTATTAATTTACTCTTGAGTCTTGAAAGGTAAAACCGCTGACTTGTCCTCGCTCTCCACTCAGCTATATTAGGTTTTTTCGTGAATTTTGAGTTTTCGTCTTCATTTTCATTAAAAAAGCAGCAGCCCATGGCCATGGGCTCCTGAAAAACGTTAAGGTGGCTCCGTAATTAATACAAGAGCATTTAGCTGTGGCAAATTTTCCGTCATAACGTTTTCGATTTTAACGCGATGGCTGCGAAACTTTGCAAAGAACAACAGATATCATTTGGCAATGATACGAAATATTCCGATTTCATTGATGGTAAATATTTCTTGAGAAATTAGCGCTTAAAAGGACCCTAATGTTCAAGAAAATCGCGTCTAGTAAAAAATTTTGCTGATATTTTTACTGAAATTTCTGGTATCGGCTTTAATTGATATAATAAATATGCCAGAGGAATTTCAGAAAAATCGTTGGAGCAGAAGTCCGTAACTAAAAGTCGCTCAAAATTCAGCTGTGAAATTGTTTTGGAATTTCAAAAATAAATTACTATCAGGAAGAAGGAGACACCAGTTTGAATTTTCGGGACAAGTAAATTCAATGTTTGCTAATTCTGAAATCAAAAGCCGATTGCCTATCGTGCTATTCTTTAAAAGGTACTTTTCAGTTTTAGAAGCACTATAAATCGCTCCAAACCTTGCTATGACGTCGAATGACTTGTTCCTCGACATTTTTAAAATATCCCTTGGCAGTTTTGGTTCAAACTCCTGCTACATACATTTTGATGTATTGCAATGCATCCTCAACGGCTTTTCTTGCTGTACGTTGTTTCCAATTCAGGAAAAAGGTATTGGGATTGTAAGCTACCTTGTATCGAAGCTCAGATAGAACTGTCCAGCACCTTTGTTTATGACCAGAAAATGAGCACGAGCGGCAGCTCTGCGAGGAATTCGCACCTCAGCCAGGGGGGACGAATGATAATGATACCCATGTCTGTGAACCGATCTGTATAAACATGTATTGCAGAGCAAAACATAATAATCAAGAAAAAAATACCCATTCATTGAAGGAAGGAGTGACAAAAATTTCAGAGTTGTAAATTTATTCACGGGCAGTATTTTTGCGATAATTTTATTTTGCACTGTGATGTTATTCGGTTCACAGGCTTGGTCATCATTGTCGTTCGTCCCCCTGGTGAGGTGCGAATTCTCGCAGAACTGCCGCTCGTGCTCATTTTGTAGTCATAAACAAAGGTGTTGGACAGTTCTATCTGAGCTCTGATACGAGGTAGCGTCCAATCTCAATACTTTTTTTCCTGAGTTGGAAGCAACGAACAGCAGTAAAAGTCGTTGAAAATGAATTGCAATACATCAAAAATGTATGCAGCAGGAGTTTGAGCCAAAACTGCAAAGGGATATTTTAAAAAATGTCGAAGAACAAGTCATTCTACTTCAGAGCAAGGTTTGGAGCAATTTATGGTGCTTCTAAAACTAAAAAGTACCTTTTAAAGAATAGCACTATAGGCAATCGGCTTTTTGTTTTAAGAATTAGCAAACGTTGAATTTACTTGTTTCGAAAATTCAAACTGGTGGCTCCTTCTACCTGATAGTAATTTATTTTTTGAAATTCCAAAACAATTTCACAGCTGAATTTTGAGCGACTTTTTAGTTACGGTCTTCGCTCCAACGATTTTTCTGAAATTCCTCTGCATATTTATTATATCAATTAAAGCCGATACCAGAAATTTCAGTAAAAAATATCCGCAAAATTTTTTACTAGACGCGATTTTCTTCGAACAGTAGGGTCCTTTTAAGCGCTAATTTCTCAAGAAATATTTACCATCAATGAAATCGGAATATTTCGTATTGTTGCCGAATGATATATGTTGTTCTTAGCAAAGTTTCGCAGTCATCGCGTTAAGAACCAAAAAGTTATGACGGAAAATTGGTCACAGCAAAATGCTCTAGTATTAATTACGGAGCCACCTTAATTTCTATTTTGTTTTCTCGCAAAAAATTAACTTTCCGGTAAAATGCCACGAAAATGCTCGAATAATGCTCAATGCCTTTGCCTCACTAAAATGCTCGAAAAAATGCTAGCATAATGTACAAAAGCCTACTCAAAAACTTTCTCGGACCACGTGACCCGAAAAGCATCGGCCGCGCATAATAATGAGGCCTAGGGACTAGGCAATGTACCTGCCATAATTGCCTCAATTATGGCAAAGTTTGAACGAATTCCATGAGAGCGTTTTCGAAATATTTTGAAAAGCAGT